GTTTCATTGGCAAGGAGTTTAATGAATGTACTTGCGAGCGATATTATTCCTGCGACATTTGGCTAACAAATGATAGTGAACTTTTGTTTCGCTATCAACATATAAAATTAATGCAGATAATTAATGTATACAATTCTAGTAGAGGAGGTCTGCAATAAAGATGATAGAATGAGGGTAGAGAAATGCTCCATCTTATCAATTAATATTATATTTTTGCTTTTTTTTTTCAAACTAAGAAATAACAAAGTTGGAATGGTTATATTCAAATTACCTTCACAAAAAAGATCCGCAGTACATTTTAACATGGTTGATAAAAGAAGTCATGAATTGGTACATTTAATCAGTAGTACACCTAGAGCTGCATCAATATGAGAAGGCTTTCGTCATTTTTTTTTTTTTGTAAAATTTAAACTACCAAGGGAATTGGCCGTTAGTGAGAGAAATTAATTGCATTGATTGGATGAGAATGTGTGACTAACGGAAGGGAATTTTTTCCTCTAAAAGCTTGAATGAAATGGCAGTTGTGAAGTGTGAATGAGATTTGCACTTCCATTCCCGTAAATATTAACAAACCTTCGTCCTTTCATTTCCTCTCTATCCTTAACTGTTCCCTCTTTTCTTTAGCTTACTATTTTCATGATTAGTATAAATACAGAAAGCGCGGAAACATGATTGAATGGGCGATTTTCAATAAATGAAAAATGATGAAATGGATAAAAATAGAAATCAATACCCAACATTTCAATCAGCTTTATAGGAAGAAATGTAAAAAAAAAGATCCTAAAATTTGTTGTAACGCAGTAAAAGCAACAAAAATATGCGCTAACAGATGATAATTAAGCTTGAAATTAATATGACTTAACTTTCAGTGGTGTGACTTCGTAAAATAAAAAGTATGTGTTTCCTATAGTTAATAATATATATGTGTAAAAACCAGAAAATATCTTCAGAAATATTCCTTCCTTTGTTCTGAAAATTAATTATTTGAACAACGATTCCTAGGATTTACATTTCCAGTCATTTCTAACACACATTTAAAAGAAGAAACAAATTGAACTAGTAAGCATATATGTTTGAGGATCTTCTTCATTGCAGGCTACAAGACAAAAAATGAGGACAAGGACCAAATTGGGCACTTTCATTAGCTCTCGTCATCTTCGTCTTTTTTTTAATGTTATTTTTATGAGATGGATTTTTGACAGTAAAATGGATTGAAATCCTTTGAAAACTTGTTTTGCAACAAGCAAATAGCTGCATTAGTCAAAGACAAGGGAGTTGACCTCAATGATAATAATTGAGCCTATGAGAAAAAAAATGAAATAAACAGGATGCGAATCAATAATCCATTTATCATCGAATTTCTTCGAAACAGTTTTTAATTACGGGAAGGATAATTATAAACAGCATGGAAAATAACACATACTTGAAGCAACTTTGCTTAAGGCAATTCTAATGTTTGTTAGATATGGAAATTTACTTTATATGTGCAGCAGATAATTAGTTTTATTGATGGAAAATATGGGAAGAATGTTATGTACATCGATTTCGGTAAGCTTTTAAATACCAAAGAAAAATGAAAAATGTTATTTATCTCTGATCGTGGTTCCATTTGTCCCATATTTATTGCGAGCAATATACGCATTAAATGATCAAACAATTATGACCATCTTATCGGATATTAGAAGCGATTGATTAATGCAAGCAATTATTTCTTGTACTGTATTATTTCAGTTCAAAAAAAAAAAATCATCTAACCCAAATACTGGTTTTCCAACTGTTACAACAATCAAGAATGTTGAAGTCTAAAAAGTTTCAGTAAATTAAATCTCAAAAAAATGCTATAAAAATGAAAATGAATTTATAGAAATGCCAATCTGTAAAAAAAAAAGAAACTTTGCAATGTGCAAAAAAAAAGCATGACTAATTGTATTTCAATTTTCACGTACTGAAATGATTGTAAAGGCTTGTAAATAATCAGAAAAAAAAAACAGCCATAATGGATTTGATGGAAACTCCATCAAATCGATATTTACAATCATGAGTGGAAGAAGAAGTATTTATACTTTCTGTAGTATTGATGATTAGGCTTCAACTAATACAATCATATTACAGATAAGAGAAGTTGCATTTATAATGGAAAGATAAAACACTGCATACAAATCGGATAAACCTTAGGTTTATTATCTATGTATTTTATAATTGTATTAAACCTGAGAGAAGCTTAATATCTGCCATGTTCGAGATGGCCAATAAGTCCTTTATTATTTACACTTATCGCTTGAAAGGTAATTCACATCACGCAATGAACTGAGAACAAATATGTATAATGGGCAAATTACTGTGAAGGTGAAAAATTACAGGCTGTAGTAGGTAACTTCGCATTATCATATCAACGGTCAGTAAATCAAGCCAAATAATACAGAGTTGAAAACTTTAGATTTGAATAAATGGATGGGCCCAGCTAAAAGATTCATATTGATCTTGCAATGATAACTCCAAAATTCGATAAATTGAACAATAAATGACAAAATTCCATGAAATTGATACTTTCAATGCTTTAAAATGTCTACACACTTTTAAAATGCTAGAAATTGATACTAATATTTTCATTGATACTAATATTCTTATTAGAAATAAGGCAAATTCCACATTAATAAAGCATGTTTTCTCTCGATAACAGCTGTTTGAGAAAAAATCAGAAAATTTATTTTAATTTTGAAAATCCATACGAAAGTGCACAAAACTTATTAAGTAATTTAAAACTCCTTTATAAAAAATAAAGAAAATTTATAATCTCTTTGTAGAAATTTGTAAAGAGATTATAAGAGAAATCAGAAGAGAATGTAATGTAATCATAATAAAAAGAATTCAATCGTAAATATTAAGCCAATGAAGTAAAAATCCAGAAGATATTACAAAATTTTAAGCTGATGGAATACCCGAGACGGTTTTCAAGCAAAATTAATTAGTGAGTGTGTTTCCAATTTCAAGGTGGTAACACCTCATTAAACGTAACATTGCGCCCATCAATTACGTGTATAATACATTCAAACTTCTGCCTAATTATGTCTGTTTTAACCAAAGACAATAGCAAAAATGGAAGAAAAGATGCAGATAAAATATGTCAACAACTGTATAAAACAATGATGGAAAAAATAACCTTTGCATTTTACTTATAAATTATGCACAATTAATTTCCTCTTAGAATCATACACAAAATTATTTGTGCGGAAATGTTGACTCTTATAAAAATTTTTCACATTCTCAATGCGAACTTGTTGTGCCTGAAACAGACAACGGAAAAACTAAATTATGAAAAATACCTTATTTCTTAATAGATAACTGTTAAAACGTGAAAAAACAAAAGTCGATTATGAGCATTCAAAATGTCATATTTTTATAGTTCTTATCATAAAACCGGATATAACAGGAATTCCGTACTAAATAAACGGATTATTTATATGAAATTTTATGCTAAATTTCCAAAGCAAGCTATATGTGAAATTTAAGCATATAATAGAAGTTTGCCAACTTGAAACGAGCGACACACTACTTTTTGCTTTTAGACAATGTGCAGGAAAGCCGTACATCATAACGGAGCTTAACACTAACATAATGAATTAAAGCTTAATAAATCTAGAACAGCGAGCATGTAGTCCTTAATCCTCTCTAGTAAGAGTATTTTAATTTGGTAATTAATTCAGTCACCTAATTTTTGAGTAGACTTCTCAAATACAATATATGTCCCCAAAAATTTCAAATCTCAGTTCAGGAAAGCAAATAAAAAATCAAACATACTTTTTCAATAAAATCAGATTCAGGAATACCAATAGTGGATAGAGTTGTCTCCTTATGTCGTGCTCGTTCATAGTGTAACTGATCTCTAACTAACTGCTTCAAGAGATATAATAACAATTCATTATGGTCACGATTGATAAAGATATACCTATCGAAATTCTGAAAAAAATTAGGGAAGAGATTGTGTATTTTGAAACACATTAAACAGCTCTTAAAAGTCATCCCTTAGTAATCTTTTTCTGATGATCTCAAGATTATAAACCTTTCGCATTTGTCGCATAACAGATGCCTTCTGTGTGTTGATAAATGATTCCAGTATTACTCGTACGGCTACATCAACATCTTCACTGCATACATAGGAACGAAGATGCATTTTAGCGTGGGCTTCAGCTAGACGAATCAATGACTCCACATGGCGCACCGTTACAGCAACCGACCCTGTTGCCTAAAACTTTCATACTAAAAAAAAATATTTGCACATTTGAGGCGAAAATATTCTTCAGTAAACAGCTTTATAGAGCAGTAGAGACTTATTTTTCCATACGATGGATAGATTCAAAAAAGCAAAAGAAAGCGTAAGAGATGTCTTGTCATGTTATCTAGGTAATTTTAATGTAATATTAATCATATTCCATTATTTCCAAAAAAAGGAAGGTAATCTTTCTTAACAAATTGAAGTTAAGATGTAATACTAAAATAATTTTGAAAACGAGAAAAATTCACTATAAGTAATTCTACCGGTAATAAATGCATGTCACACCGAAAATAGAGCACACAACTTGATCATAAAATAATTTTTTTTTTCCAAAAATTTTCCAAAACTACCAAGGATTCTTTCCTCATTTCGGCGAAAAATTTCGAAATTTTATCCTGCGGTAATTGTTCTAATTTCGGATGTATATTTTCCCGAGCGTACATCAAATATTTCCTCAGCATTGCTTGTGGTATCAACTCTAAACCAGTAATTGAATCTTTTTCTGGCTGCTGAAATAAAAAATCTAACATAAACATGAATTATCGCCGATGCTCCACTAGCGAAAGAGTTAAAATGGTTCGGCAGCTAGCACTGCAACCAATTTTGAAGTAGCAATATTCTTTGTAGAGACATGTTATCATCAGTAAACATATTTCACTAAAGCAATGAACTAATTCTAATTCTGTAGTTTCTTACCTATCTGAATGCTTTCAGAAAATAAAGAAATAATAGCAATGAAACCAAAACGATTTACAGATGTTTGTTGCGAATTTCTTAGTCTCTCTTCTTGCAATTCTTTTGCATTTGGATGATGTTTGCGATGACTGTCCACAACAAAATTAGCAAGCCGTTCATCCTCTACTGGGTCTACCTAAAATTTTCCAAAGAATTCATCAATCCATACAATTTGGAAACTTTAAAGCTGCAAAATCACTCACCGTATCGCGTACCACACATAGCACATCGAATCTACTAAGAATCGGTTCGGTAAGATCAACATTTTCAGCAAAAGTACGTGAAGGATCATAGCGACCACCGATTGGGTTCGCAGCAGCAATTACGGTACAGCGTGCATGTAATGACGTGACAATGCCAGCTTTAGATATAGATATTGATTGTTGTTCCATTGCTTCATGAATCGAAGTACGATCCTGAATTGGCAAATTTTGCAAATTCGAAAACTTCTCAATGTAAAAGCTAAATTTTGCAAACTTTTGCTAGAAAAACTATAATAAATATTATTTTCCGATTTTTCAACTAAAATAAAGCAGGACTTATTCTTAATCTAAATGATAATCTCTTTTTGGCAATTTTTTTTAAACAATCCATAGAAATCTGCAAACTAACTTGATCGTTCATTTTGTCAAATTCATCAATGAGACAAACTCCTCTATCTGCAAGTACCATTGCACCTGCTTCAAGTGTCCATTCTCGTGTTATAGGATGACGTTGTACATATGCCGTAAGGCCGACAGCCGAGGCCCCTAAAAACATCTTTCCATTACTTTCATTTTCTAGAAATACAAAAATAAGTCTAAAAAGATTAAGAAACCATACCTTGGCCCGTAGTAAGAACAGCTCGTGGAGAAGCATGCGCAGCATAGCGTAAAAATTGAGATTTTGCTGTACCAGGATCACCGCATAATAAAACGTTGATGTCACCTCGGATGCTATGTTTTTCACCAGGATTTTTCTGTTCTCCCCTGTGTGTCAAGAAATTAAAAGATGGAAAAAATAACTACTCTTATCACTGATAATCAACTCTTTCCTTGCCATTATAAAATATCAACAAAAAGTCACCTGAACAGTGCCAACGCAATGGCCCGTTTGATATCATCATGACCGTAAATTGATGGTGCAATACTTGCAAATATTCTTTCGGCTATCTGCGGATCCTTTGACAATTGTCGAATAATCTAAATACTCCATATCTTAGTAATAAAAGCTTCCTGTTGCTCAAACATATTTTTCTAAAAAACTATACATTAATTTGAAATCAACCTGAATATCTTCATCAGTAAGACTGTCAGAAGCAATTTTATCTTTCTTCGATATATAATTTGCATATATTACAGTGCTGAAAACAGGAAAACCCTGCTTGCTATTCATTGATCCATCATAATTGTTCGTATAAATGCCAGTCAATTCCTAAAAATAACACAACTGATTTAGAAGCAAAAAGAATTAAGTATTAAGTCAAGCATTTATAAATTACTTTCATTCATTTATTAAGTAAACATGGAATAGCTGAGAACGTCTAAACTTACGACTTCATCACCCGGTTTGCATGCATCACACAAATCAGCAGTAAGCACTACATCTTTGCTTCTAGGCAATCTTCCAGCAGCGACATTATTGGGACTTTCTTGGATAGTTATTCGTTGATAATTATGATAGATGGTATTTTCCATGTTCAGTTCAAATGGTCCACGACTTTGACAAGACGGACACATTGTAGGTTTCACTTCTTCATCTTGATGTTGGACAAATGGACCAAGAAGGTAACCGCACACACTGCAGTCAAATTTTACGATAGATAACCGCGGTAGCATCCCTGTAGCGAATAGAAACTAAATATTAGTGTAACTCTACACAAACTGAAAACTTTGTTAGCGTGTTTATGACGGAAATTTGATCGAAAACTACAAATCAGAAGTAAGACAATTCAAAACTGTTAATTGCTTTATATTAGCAAACCTGTAGTAACCGTCACAACACCAGATGTTCTGATCAGCATATTCAGATGCAACTGACGTAGCATTCGTATATCCTCTTCAACAGGAAGCCCCCGTATGCGTATCTTTAATTTATAAAATTCAAAACAGTAAAAAAAATTATTATTTGCATCATATTATCAAAATAATCGAAGTGAGAAGTATACCTTGACTTCTGGAGCAATACGAGGGAAGAACGGAAATAACGAAAGTGTAACCTCGGTTGCCGCACGATCAAGATAATTTAGCACCTACAAAATTTAGAAATTAGCCTTGAAACAATGAGTCAACCAGTAAGTTATTCAGGAAAAGAATGGTCAAAAAAAATAATGCTATTCCAGATAGTAGCTGGAAACATTACATTAAATTTAAATACATTTTTTTAGAGTTTAACACATACTTGTATGGGTGCTTCTGGCAAGAAGTAACAAATATTCTGCTCGCCATTTTCACTCGCCAAATCTTCATAATCGATTTCCAACGACTCACGATTTTCTGCCACCATTAGTTTTATCGCCTCCAAATACTTCAGTTTTTTGGTCTTCGCATCTTTATATCCACGAACAAAGCTTTTAAAGCTAAAAAGTATAATGATATCTAATTAGCTAACAGTAACATTAGAATTATACATAATTAGTACTACCATTTATGACATACTGTGATTTCTGACATTTTCACACTTATCAATGCAGAAATATGCATAATATTTATGACAAACTGCAATTTGCATACATTTTGTAAATGATAATTCGAAGATTCAAATTAAAACTATGAACAATTCGGCTACTAACCGCCTCACTATTTCTCGTCCTACCGCTTCATCTGAAACGTGCTCACGTGTCGATCTTCCTCGAAAGTTTTCTAAAATATCGATAGGAATTTCTTCGTCCTCTTCGACTTCCATTTCATTGTCATCAGTTCGATCTTTTCGAAAATAACGGCGCATACGTCGTCCAACATCTGCATCATCCTGTAGACTTTAAACTTTCTAATACATCGAACAAGCATTAAGATACTCGATTATTCCACTCCCAAGAATAAAACTGTTTCAAAAGATTCATGGAAAAATTGGTCCAATTCTAAAAAATTAAAGTGTTTGAAAGTTACTTTCTATCATATTTGATTGGAATACTCAATATTTTGAATTTCTATTTTTCACTTTTCTCATTAACCAAGAACATAAACAGATCATATATTAGAGAAGGATTAAAGTTTGTTGTTTGCAATTACTGGTGAATGGATATTTTTCAGTGCTTCATTTCTGAGGAAAAAAGGAAACACCTTTTAGGCATAAGATAAATTAGAATGTATTGTAATCACTTAATAAACCTGTTCGTAGAGTAGAGCATCTTCATCCAGTAAATTATCCCGCTCATCCATCTCGCGTTCAGCTGCACGACGTGCTCCCTCTGTCAGCTCCGTGTATTCTGATGCATCATCCATGCCTGACTGTGAGTAAACGTCCAGTTCTGGCTGCGGACGATAATCTCTGGAAAATCGCGTTGCTTAAACTATTTTTAAAAACATTTTAAGATTTCATCCAGAAATTTACTACACGGAAATTTTAAAGTGGAGAATGCATTTTACCGTTCCATATCTTCACCAAAGAGATTTTCTCCTTCTTCTTCATCTTGTACTGCTTCTTCTTCAGCACCAAACAATTCAGCTAAAGTATCATCATCTCCATCTTCGGCTAAATCAGCATTCTCCTCAAAAACATCAGCAGCAGTATCTTCTGACTGATAGTCATCTTCGTCTGCATAAAATTCAAATTGACATAATGTTCTATATATAGCAGACAATGTTGATAATAATAAAAACAGTAAACTCTTTTTTTACTCAGTTTAATGAATCAGTTAATTTCAACATTCACTTTCCTACTAATTATCCAATCAATTATCTAATCATCACTAAGCCTAATTGCTAGCATATCCATCAACAATAATGTAAAAATGCAAAATCATTGTGCGCCTTTCGGTCAGCTAATTTCAAAAACTGAAACTTCTGTTAAAATTAAAGTACAGAGTTGGTAATTAACCTTGGGAATGAGTTGCTCGAGAGTGATCTGAACGCTGGGACATAATCTCAATTCAATCGGCAAAACAATTAAGTTTACTTTTTCGGAAATCTGAAATGCTATCAAGTGCATCTTTTACGTCATAATTCCTCCACGTCATATTATCCAATACTCAGCTACCCTCTATGCTGCTATTCAAATACTTCCTCATCTCCCTCACATCCTTTCCCAGTCAGAAAATCACGTGACAATATCCTCTCCCTCCTCTTGTCCACTTTGCAAAAAAATGAAATTTAAAAATTGTAAATTTCGCGCATTCCATTCAAAACTCGTTAGACTGTTGGAGCTTTTTTGTTAGAGATTAAATTAAATAAGTTATGAAAGATAGATATTTATGCCTTATTTCTTGGATTGTAGTCGCAGTAATTGATATTTCCTTCCTCATGAAGAACTCTTTTCAAATTTTTAAATAACATTTTAAAAAATTTCCACTTTTAAATTTATCCGTTTAAATGGGAATAAATTCGAGAGTTAAATGTGATGCAATATGCTTGTGAAAGCCCTTGGCGATGCGAATTGATAAGGCTTTTTTGCCTCGGATATACACTGTACATAGCCGCTTATAAATTTCCATAAACATCATGAATTTACGTAAACATCACAATTATCTTGCTGAATTAAGCTAATGATTAGCTTGTTACTTAACACTGAAGATCATTTTAAAAAAAAAGCAGGCCATTCAATTTCTTCACCTCATTCAGCCTTAAAAAAGTTCATTCGAGTTATTCGGCCTGAAAAAATCCACTCAGGTCATTGAGCTTGAAAAAATTGCTAATTGATGAGCATGTGTATTGTATGTTATAATTACTGTTTGTAGATTCCGCATTTTATGGACTCTACGGAATTCATAAAATGCTTATGAATTCCATGAAACCCGATTCAGAAAGTGCTGTTTCAGAAATTGAACGAATGGATGATGCAATTTGTTGAAATGAGTAATGAATAATGCATAATTTAATCATGATATTATTTATTTCACAAATATTGTTAGTTATTGCATGATAAGATTTGACGATCCTGACAGATAGGTATCGCTTATTTATTGTTGTCATTGTGATAGCTGATGATCCATGATCCATCCATTCAGGTGTCTATATTGGACCATTTTCAATTTGAAAGAAAAAAAAGGAAAAGTTTCATGGTGAGAAAAATTGCTTGCCTGAATGATCGAAAAGAATGTTGGAGAGAATTGTGGAAGGTTAAAAATTAATTAGCAATTTGATTTAGCGATGTTATTGCAAATTTTTGGGAATCATAAAATTTTGTTATTAATTATAATTTTTGCTGCTAATTCACATATTCTTTCCCTTCCCCATTTCCCTAATTATGATAGCCTTTCATTTCTTTTCCTCTTCCTTTTTCTCCTCCTCCTTTTCCTCCTTCTTCTCATCCTCCTTCTTTTCGTCCTCCTTCTTCTCCTCTTTCTGCAACAAAATCCATTCTTTGAATTTGAAAATTCAAACACTTCAAAATTTTTTCAGTGCTTTGCTTATTTCAACTAACTTTGTTCATTGTTAATCAAGAGAAAAATTAAACCTTAATTGAATTTTACTAATTAAAACCAAACTTTTATAATACAGCTAACCTTCTCTTCTTCCTCCTTCTTCTCCTCCTTCTTCTCCTCCTTTTTCTCCTCCTTTTTCTCCTCCTTTTTCTCTTCCTTTTTCTCCTCTTTCTTTTCTTCTTCCTTTTTCTCACCACCTTCCTTCTTTTCCTCACCTTCCTTCTTTTCCTCATCTTCCTTTTTTTCTTCACCTTCCTTTTTTTCGGCCTCTTCCTTTTTTTCATCGTCTTCTTCCTTTTTGAAATCCACATAGAGTCTAGGAATATAGCTCTAATTATTTCATTTCCAATCATTTATTATTAAGTAATTAATATATTATCATTATCGTTATTATTACTAACTATTATTAATTGTTATTAATCGTTGTTAATTATTATCAATTATTATCAACTACTATTGATTACTGTTGATTACTACTGATTAGTATTGATTACTATTTATTGCTATTGATTATTATTGACTATTATTAATTATTACTATTCGCTATTACTAACTAATTTAATTAATAATAATAAATTATTATTATTAATTATTATTATAGTATCATAACAGCCTAGACTCATTTTACCTCTTTGTTCCATTTGGATCTCCTTTGTGGTCTGACCAGCATGCTCTTGGTGCCTTATTCTCATCGGTCGCCTTTATATAGTATACTGCAAAGTAATGCTTCCCACTGTCAGGTACTGTTTTTCCCGCATTGAAAGTTAACTGAAAATATTCTATTGCAATAATAAAGTAGAACATTTTTAATTGGAAAAGAAATTTTATAATTAAGAAAGATTTTAATGCTAACCTTAACAACGGTTTCTTCACCGGGCTTCAATGCAAATACAGGCGGACGAATTCGGAACATTTCGTTTGAGGTGCATTTTACTTTGCATGCTTGACGATCCTAAAACTGATATAGTTTGCATTGAAAAGGAACTTTGAATGAACGAATAAGAGGAAAATGGAATTGAAGATTGCATGTACCGATGTGGGATTTGTAATTTTGAGAGTTGTTGGACAGGGTTCTTCGCCGAGCTTCTTCCCAACATAGGTAATGCGTTCGCTTGGATCAAGTTTTAGTGCAAAATCGCCCATTTTTTAGTCGCTGTCGAGTTTCTGGATCGTTTAGTTTGTCTTATCACACCGGTTAGGATCGCAAAATCGAATCACCGCTTCGTATGCGATCAAAGTTGTACAATAATAATACAACATATTGCGTACGGTTTTATTTAAATCGACCGTTTTACCTTTATTTCAAAACTTGCATTAAGTTAAATTTGCTTAAGTATTTATAGTTAGTTTGATATAGTTAGTTTGACTACAACTAATTCAAAGCTCATTTTATTCAATGTCAAAATATTTGAAGGCAGTTTTTTTCTTGAATTTAAAATTGTAAAAGAAAACAATTTATACACTAGTAAGCAAAAAATGTTTTGTCTGAGACCTTTAGATTCTTTGACAAACCAACCTTCGTAGAGTATTTTATCATAGTCCTATCAAATACTGAACATATGATCTCCCTAAATGTGACTTCAATTGTGTAAAATATTTGTTTTAAGAAAGTAATTAGCTGCTGGTAACTGATAAAGGATAGACTTATTGTCAAGTGTGATTTGAAAAATCATCAACAACGATTCGTTAAGTTTCAGTAATTAATATTTCGGAATATTATTTTTTATGGTAATATTTGGAAATTATTTATAGTACCACAACGTCATCTTTATTTTTCGTGTGTCTGTTCACGTTTCTGTTTGTGAGCGAATCTATTCATAATTGATAAACAGTTTTTTCGGGTAGTTCATAGCATACTTGTTAATATACAGCAGAAAAAAACGTCAGTGAAAATTTTCTGATTAAAATTAAATGAATAAAATAGTTAGCATATCATTCCAAAAATTGTTGCAACAAAAAAAAAAGCATTAAACATTTTAATTGCTGTTTATTTTCTTTCTGCTAACATTTCAGTTATGAATGTAAAAAATGAAAAGATATTTTTAAACCACTTCAAAATCTTTATCTTATTGTGACATGTAATGAATGCAATTATTTTCTTCAAATTTTGCAGTGACCTTTCTTTTGCATTATCTGTTACTTCTGATCATCATCATCATATTCGTTGACCTTTGATGCATGACCGCTCCTTCTATCAAACCATATTATTTTTCTTCTATCCTTTTCTCATCCTTTGTATTTCTTATTTCCTAAATTTCCTCTCTTTAAAATACTTTATGGTCATTTCTTTGCCAGATTGAACCATGTAGAGTAAACAGTTCCTAATCGATTACCTCCTTTAATATCTCTTTCCTCATTCACATCATTTTCTACGCAGTGACTCCATTATTCTCCTAGCAATGTTGAGTACCATCGCGAAAATCATGATTATAATAATGATGATTTTAGCTATTTCAACAATTCCAGGAAATGCAGGTATTAATTGTTGCTAATCGATTCATAATTAAATAACCTATTGAATTTTTCCTAACTTTATGTTGCATATTTACTCACATATTATACAAAAAAAAAAATTTTATTGCTACTTATGAGAGATGATAGGCTCGATATGGAAGACTTTTCAAGAACAATAATCCTTTCTTAATATACCTTATTGTTATACCATTTGAAAATTTTATCAGAATAGAAAAAACATAACTTTATTTGATTTTGTTGCAAAAAATTTGATATAAATTTTCAAACTAAATGATTTTATATGGAAAATTTATAACCATTTTAAAAAGTTCACTTTTTTATTACTAATACTGATCTTTGAACAATGAAATAAACAAAGCGAAATCGCGGTCTTTTTCTTTTGTGGATCATTTCGGCGATAGTTTGAATGGAATACTTTGAAAAAATCAATAAAGAACTGTTTTAGGATCAGGAAAGAAAGAAGGACCGGTAAATCCAGGATTTTGCTTTGGTCCAATTAATTTCTGTGCAGAAGGTTACGTATGCGCTAAAATAGAATGTGTTGAAGAGAGAAATCAAAAAATGATTGATGGTTGATCTTTTAATTTATTTTTGAAATTAGGCTAGGAAATTTGTACACATCCATTGTTCCGAAATATTTGGAATATTTTTGAAGTGTATAAAGTACTTCCCAATGTACTTCAAAATACACATCCGGAGCATGGATAAAAAAGATAACATTGATAATCAAAGTGATATCGGTTGTTTAAAGATAATACCGGAAATTTATGCAGTTGATATGTTAACAGTTTTGACATTTTCCGTGTGAGGAAAATTCTAAAAGTATCCCAAAAAATGAATATCTTTTCTTCTGCTTTTATTTACAAGCGCATTTTACATTTGTATGAAATAGCATAATTTTTGTGGATTTTGATTTTTGTCACAAAAAGTTTTGTGTCAATTGTCTAAATAACGGTACATCAGGAAAAACAAAAATGAATGATATTTTGAATCATTCATTTTCAGCTGAAAGAACTACAAGCCGAATAATTAATATTGCAATTAAGACGTAAAGCATGTATTGTAAACAGGAAGTTCAATTATTTATCATTTTGGCAATTTTTTTTTATTCTTATTTTTTCAGGCAAAAGCATTGGTCCATGCCTTCGTGGCTTATGTCCTAACGATTACATATGCTATGAAAGGAACAATAGATGCTACTTAATTGAGTAATCTCGATACTATTATTTTTGGGCGGAAAATGTTATTTACAATCTCAATTTTTGTTCATAATATCTCTTTCATTTTTGACAAGAACTTTTTATTCCTCAATATTTTTGACTGTTTTATTTTTTTCTACTTTTTTTTGATTTCATTAAAAATTGAAACTGTTTACAGATTGTCTTGTTTACTTGCTGTAAAACATAACGAAGTGTAATGTAATATTTTCAAATAAATTTTAATTTACTTATTATTCAATAGAAAATTTTCAGTGTTGAACTATTACATTCTTCCATTATAATATCATCCAATATTCTTGTTTCAGATTACATGTATCTCTCCAGTCATACTTTTTTTATCGATATCCTTAATTGATGTTCACTTTCTGATTTTAAATCAAAAGACAAAATTTACTGATGTAAATTTATAGTTCGTCTAATTTTGCTGACTTCTTTCCTATTGATTGAAGAAATTATATATTTTATTATTTTTTGATTTTTTTAAAATCTACGAAGCATTTGAAAAAAAAGAATAATTTTTGTAATTTTCCTGTAATTTATTTATGATCGAAATATAAATACGTATATAGCATATACGCTATCAATTGAAAATTTTTATGTAAAACCATACTATAGATATTTCAAAAATAACAAATTTTTGATCCAAAATGTCTATTTACCAAGCTATGAAGGAAACATAGCTTGGTAATACTATGAAGGAAACATTGTATCATTTCAAGTTTGAAAAAAAATCAATTTATTTCGGTTTAAATTTAATTTTTGTAGTATTAAATAAAAGAACGAGAAAATTTTTGCAGCGACATTCTTTGATCATATCAACTTTTCGTTATATCTTTTGTGCTTTTGGCAACGAAAAATTTTTATTTATTTAGCAGTTTAACTCTTTCGAACAACAAATTAGATCAGATAGCAC